CCCCCCCCCCCCCCGCTTCGGAGACGGGTCATCAGATAATTTTAACCCTCCGTTAGTCGCAGTATCCAACAGATGCCATCCTAATATTTGTCAATTTGTTCCTCACCGTTTTTGCGTGCTTTAGTGCCTGGTCTGTCAGGCGAGTACCGGCGAAAGAAAAGTCGTATCGAGAAGCAGGGGAAAATAATGGGAAAATCGGTGTATCTGTGAAATAACATTGCGACGATTCACCGTGAATGAAAAATATTGCAACCAGCGGAGGGTTAACGTAGATCCGAGCGTGCGGAAATTCGAGGAACCGCCCCCGTGTGAAAATGATTAGTCCGGATATTGGGGAACACGTGGTAATCTCTTGCGCGCGACAATTACCGTTATTGTTATTAGAATCGTGATCCGAGGTGACTCGCTGCATCATCGATTTTTTCCCCTCCGCGCGCTTAGGATCGCGCGTGTGTTAAGATCCACCGTGTCTTTTTCGTTCCGCGCTTGGGAAAGAGAAGAAACGAGTGAAAAAGAGAGAGGGACAGAGAGAGAGAAAGAGAGAGAGAGAGAGCCTCGTCGTATCCCCCTCCTCCTCCTGCTATACTTATGTATGGTAGCTACGTCCGCGACGTAAACGCAGCCGTACGGATAAACCACACAACAGGCACGTTTCGCACTTTATACTTTACGTCTCTTCCATATCGCTTAAGAATCTGCGCTGGCGGCGCATAAAATTACGAGCGGGGCTATGCTTACATTCGAAGCACGAACGACGCGTAAGGTGGAGGAGAAGAGCGGAGAGAGGAGAGGACATGAGAGAAAGCAAGTAATAAAGAGAGAGAGAGAGAGAGAGAACGTTGAATCGAATGAGGGGGCGGCGAACGTGCGGAGGGCGGAAGCGCGGCTTCGAACGAAACCGAATGGAAGCAGCGGACGGGGAAGAGGGGAGAGAAAAAAATGTGATTTAAAATAATTATAAACGCATTACTCGACCGGTCGGTCGGTCGGTCGGCCGGCCGAACGCGGCCACGAGCAGACGAGATGGTAATCTCCATGATTTGTTATGCCATTGTTGACGCCTAATGAGGCAGGTAGGGTGCGTATGTATGTACGTACATGCGTATGTACCCGCGGACATCTTCCATTGCTCGGAGTCGAGCGTACCGCTTCGAGAAGGTTCGCCGGGGCCGTTCGTGCCGGCGGCGACTCCGCCGCCGCGGGAGCCGCAAGCGGAAGGATATTTTGGGGACCTTCGCGAGACGCACGGGGTGTAATAATCTTTCATTCCGTTTCTCCATTAACCCTTCGCCGAGGCCCCCTCCGACCGTAATCTTCGTCATGACGATATAGAACACGTATGATTGAATGAGAATTGTAATCGAGTAAGATCTTTCGTGACTGTTATTTCTGTGTAAGGAAATATCGGTACTTTCTAAAGCGATTTTTTCTTTTTCATTGAAAATGTCAATTAAAAATCGAGAACATTTCTCTTCACGGTTTTACCACTTCAGGGTTAACGTTTATATTGATCTGTACGATCGTCCGGCACGAACGGACACGACGTGGGACCGCGGAGGATATTGATATTGCTTGACGAGAGGAGCGCTCTCTCCCTTTTCTCTCTTGGTTATCGCGAGAAACGCGAGAAAATGTCGCGAACTTCGAGGACATGTCGGTCGATGGGAAGCCGCGAGTACGTGGTCGGCGTCGCCGCCGCGTTCAGAAGTGAACGTCGCTGCTGGAGGGAGACGCGGGTTATCGAAAAAGCGATGCTCTTGGACTAAATACGTCCGCGCAAAACGAGATATTCGATTTTACGCGGAGCGTTCACTCGCTCGCTCGCTCGCTCGCTCGCGAGAGAAGGAGGGAGAGAGCGGGCGCAGATGCGAGCGAGTCGCGTGCCAAAAATGTGCCACCGCGTTTGCGAGAGAGATACGTAAGTACCGTTTTAAACCGCGCTCCTAGAACGCGCGAGCTTTCCCCGGTTAATCCGTCGGGCGTAAACCGCGCCGCGCCGAGTATCCGTCGTCGAGGCGGCGCGAGCGCGGCGAGAATAACGACTCGCGCTGCGCGTTATGGGACGGCCGTGATTTTTTTCGGATAATCCCGAATTTGTAAGACGTGTGTCGCTTACTCAGCCGTCTCGGGAGAAACCCGGAATTCCAGCAAAACGACGCAAGCACCGTTCTCGAAACGTCAATTATTCCCCCTCCCTCCTCTCTCTCTCTCTCTTTCTATCTCTCTTTTCTTTTCATTTCTAGCTTTCTCTGACTTACAGTTTTACGTAAACTGTAATTTTATACAAAAGACTCAATTAATTCCATTATTTAAGTTGGAGTAATGTTGAAATTTTCTAATTAGACGCGTTACTTTTGAGTATTTGTGCACTATGACTGCTGTTTTGGAGCATCGTTGCCGATTCATTAAATTATCAACAGTCAGGATACACGAATATTCGCGTATAATCCTTCTGATTGGGTATTCTCGATGTCACTACGCCTAGGAAATGAGACAACATTGATGGAATCTTCCGTGCTAGCATCTAATATAATCAATTACAAAAACGTCCCAACACGCTTTTTAACCAATTTCGGAACCCACCTCGTGTCCAATAGGAGAATTTGTTTCTTAGTAATTCTCAGGGGGTACGTATTGGATGCGAGGTGCGTTGCGAAACTCATCGAGAAATATAAAGCATTGTGACT